GATCCCTAGAGAGCACACAACTGGTCCTTTCTGAAGCCCTTCCCATGTTGCCTCTCTCAGGTGAGCTGGCCCATAATCTTTATTCTGACACCTCTGCAGCCTCAGTTGCCAGGTTGTCACCAGGCCAGGCTGTGATCTGACCTCCCTGGTCTCTGGAGTTTGAGTGTAGAAACTTGCCTTTAGCTCCAGTGGCTTAAACACAGGCCAGGCCTTTACTGCAGTTCATTTTCCCCAGGCCAAGTGCCTCCTTCTATCTGACAGGATGTCTCTCACACTTGTCTAAAAGTCAGATCCTTGGATTTCATACTTTGCACCTGCTCATCTGAGGAATGGGGCAGACAGGGTGCTGGGAGGTGGCATCTCACAGTGGAACTGCCCCTGCCCCTGAGCAATGACCTTCCAGAATGGAAAAGTGACCAGTTCCCAAGGGCACAGTGGAAGTGTTGGATGATTAGGTCTTTTTGAGGAGATAAGAATGAAGGAGTATATGAGACAGGCCTGGGGTGAGTTTGCATGGCAGGTGCCACAGGGGTAGAGTAGAGATTTTGGGAAAAAGGTGTCCACTTGAGCACTTTCTAGGGTGATGCACCGTGGAATGCTCCAAGTGGAACCTGTTAACTGCTGGAGAACACCGAGGAGTTTGAAAATAAAATAATGGAGGAAACAAATGAGGCAAAACAGAATTTCTGATTGACAGGGCCTATTTTATTGAGCATTTTCGGGTTCAGAAGAAAGGCAGGAAAAGGTTGGTGGGGTAGGAAAGGGGACTCTTCCTCAGGGTCCTTCTGCTTCGCCCTCTGAGAAGAAGATGGAGATCATTGTTCTAGGAACACTCTGCAGGGGCCAGACTCTTCTCCACATTGCCAGATTCATGTGTGACGTGGCAGGTGAATGTATTGTGAGATCTCCACTCATCTGGAGTCATGGTCAGGTAGCTGCTGGCCATGTACTTGTTGTTGCTCTGTTTGGAGGGCTGCGTGGTCTGAACTCCCTGGGTGACTGCAGTGCCATCTGCCTTCCAGGCCACCGTCACGTCTTTCGGGTAGAAGTCATTTATCAGACACACCAGTGTGGCCTTGCTGGTCTGGAGCTCCTCAGGAGAAGGTGGGAATAGAGTGACCGAGGGGGCGGCCTTGGGCTGACCTGCAATGTGGACAGGCAGATGAAGTCAGAGTCCTTGTGTCCACCCAGGAATCTCTGATGTCAGGAAGTCTGCATCCATGATGCAGAGGGAGCATTGGGAATTTCCTTCAACCACTCTCCGTGTCCCTAGGGTTCATGGGGCCGGACAACCGTGCCTCACATCTTCTGAGACCTCCCTGGGCCTTGGCCTCCCACACAGGCATCCTAACCTCACCTCCCAGCCCACTGTCCTCTGACATCTTGTCAGTTCTGCGTGTGGTCTCTGCCTGTCTTTCCTCTGAGCTCTCTGTGAGTGCTGTGTGTCCCACTCTGGGGACAGTTCTAACTTTCCACCTCTGCTCTGGCCCGCCTGGGTTCTCATCTAAGAAGTCTGTTTTCCTGGCAGTCTGTCTCCCCTGGAGTCTCTGTAGTGGGGCCAGGGCCTTGCTCATCCCAGCATCTGTCTTTCTGGCAGAGGCTCTCTCCTTCTTAGAGTCTGGCTAGGGTTCCCTGACTGACGTCAGACCTGTGGATTTCATATAGTGCACCTACTCATCTGTAAACGCAGGGTCTGGTTCTTCTGAGAAGTGTCTCACAGAGACCCAGGAGCTCCCTTTCCCAATGTAGGCTTCGTCAGCCCCATCTGGGCTACCTTATGTCCAGAAGTTTCTCCCTTCCTTCTTCTAAGTTTGCCAATTCCCGGTTGGCTCAGAGGTCTGCTCCTGGCTCTCCATAGAGGCTTGGGGATCACTTCCACCTCTCACCTTGTTTCTGATCCTGGACTCTTAGTTGCCAGCAGCGGGTATTAACTTGAGCCTCTAACCTGTGGTTTCATAGCCTCAGTCCTTAGTGCTCTAGGTCTTTCTAAACTCACCAGTTTTCACAACTTCCCTGCCCCTTGTGTCCTGTTTTTGTCACGTGCTAGGCCCTCAGTTTACACCCCCACAAAGCTCATGAGACAGACAGACAGACAGACAAAAGGCAAATGGAGAAGATACAGGTGAAAGTGCATTCCTGTGATACCCACCCACTGAGACAGACAGACAGATACAGACAGACACAGAGACAAACAGACACAGGCAGGCAGATGAGCTGTAGTAGGTCATCCTGTTTGGTCTCTGCCTCTGGGGTCAGAGGTGAGGGAGTGCTGATGACCAGCTAAGGCAAGCATGAAGGTCTGAACAGGAGGAGACGAGCTCAGCACTCACAGCCAACATCCAGGGAGAAAGTTTGACCCTAGGCTGAAACTCAACACAGAAACAGCTCCCCAAAAGGCAGAAAATCATCTCAAATCATGACTAGAAGCAAGAAGGAGGGAGAAGGAGCCACTTACCTAGGACGGTCAGCTTGGTCCCACCACCGAACACCCAACACTGTGATACAGCCTGGTGCAAAAACATCTCCTGGCCGCACCCTCCCCCCAACCCCAGCTGCAGCTGTGCTGGGTGCAGCCCCTCTTGGACCTGTGCGTCCTGCATGACAGTGAGGAAACCTCACTGGAAGATGCCCCAAGTGCATGGTGGCTGTCTTGGCAGGAGCCATTGTCCTGGTCAATGAATGGCCTCCCTGAAAGTCCCCTGTACCCTTTTCATCCTCTCTATGGAAAAGCTACCTTGAAGGAAAAGCAAAAGCAGAGAGAAGCCCTGAGTGGCAGTTCAGTGAGGCTGGAGGCTGTGCAGTGACCCTGGAAGTTCCCGGGACCAGCATCTCAGCTTCTGGAGATCCCACCTGGGAAGCAAGAAAGAAAGTAGTGTGGGTATTGTAGTAGGGGACATCAGGCTGAGAACACGGGCCGCAAATACAGTGGGAGACCGCATTTCATCTTCTCACACAGAAAGAAACATCCACAAAGAAACAACGCTGCACATCCAATTAGATAAAGAAACTCATGACATTCGTGAGGGATTTTCTGAGGCCTGGATTATTTTGCTATTCAGTTATTATTGATAATTTGTCCTTAGTTTGATAATTGTCTTATAGTTATACAATTCAACCTTCCAGGATGGAAGTGCAATATTTAGAGAGAGAGAAAGAAGAGATGTCTGGAATTTCCTGGCAAGTATCAAGCAAAGGAGGAGTCATTGTATTGTGGGTGAATTAAAATCACCCATGAATTCATTATTTTGACAGTGTTGATGGCACCATAGAAGTCATTGTTATTCCCCTGTTTCCTGTGTTGAAAATTCTCCAATATGAAGAATTAATATGAAATACAGAGGGAACGTGTCTTGGGTCAGGACCTGATTTGGGATGGATCTTGGTATTGTCCCCACGGGGGCAGCGGTATGGTCCTGCATGGTGTGAGCTTTCAACCCCTGAAATGGAGTCAGATGGGTGCTATGGGACATTAGAACCCCTCAGGTGCTTCCTGATTCAGACACTGGGGTTTGTGACCTCGAGGCCGTCATGAATTTTGAAGGGGACCCATTTCTCTGCACCAGTGTGACTGAAGAGTTCCCTGTCATTGAGAGTTCTGTCCTTAGCTTGGCCTGGCTGTTCAGCAGCTCCGGGGAGTGCAACTACTGGGTGGCTCATAAGCTGGATGCACAGAGAGTGCAGTCTATGAGCTCTTGTAGCCGAGAAGACTGAGAATTTCTACTGGGGGCTGCACAAGTAGGACTCCAGAGTGAGTGTCTTGACCATAGGTTGCAGGTGCACATGGGGGTGTCTGAGCCACCTGAGGGAGCTGTGGAGAGTGTGTCCTGGTGGGATTGAGGTCTGGAGCTGCAGTTTCCTGAGAGCTAGATCTTTCAGTAGCCCTCTTGCCACCATCACCCTCCCATGATCTATTCTAAACTGGGCCCAAGTGCAGTCCTTGTGTGCATTCCTGAACCTCACCCAGGCTCCCTCAAAAAATCAGTGGATGCCCATTCTGTGCCTAGGTTGGTGTTTTTTCTCATTTATCAGAATTCATCCAAGTCTTCCTTGTCATGCAGACTGATCATCATCTGGCCGTAGCTGTGAATGGAGTCCTACATTATCTCCATCCAGCAGACTGAGTTTTGTGGTCTGGTCCTTAATGGTTGAGATCACAGCCTCATGCTCTTGGCAACCTTGAATCTGACCCTGATCCACACCCATCTGAACACATAGTGATCACCTCTGTGTTTCTCTGCGTCAGCCCACGTTCCACTAAGTCTCTCTGTGAAACGCTGGTCTCTTTATGGAGCTTGCAATCATTGTGAAAGCCTGAGAAATGCACTTGCAGATTCCATTGTCCATGCCTTCCCATGACAAACGATCTCCTGACAAGTTCCTTCAGAGAAAACTAGAAAGATAAGCCTCTGTTTCTGCAGAAACCTTTGCTTTGTTTCAAACATCTTCCTCCCTCCACATTTCTGCCTCTAGCCTGAAACTAGACTCCTGAGACCCCGCTTCATTTCTCTCTACTTCTCTGCTCTGGCCAGCTACCTTCCCTCTTTCTGGTCCCCTTCCCCTTCCCAGACAAGGGCCAGTCTGTAAGGCCAATTTCCCGGGCTGGATCACAGTTCTACCAGCTAAGGGAACCTACCAGAGGAATGGGGCAGACAGGGTGCTGGGAGGTGGTATCTCACAGTGGAACTGCCCCTGCCCCTGAGCAATGACCTTCCAGAATGGAAAAGTGACCAGTTCCCAAGGGCACAGTGGAAGTGTTGGATGATTAGGTCTTTTTGAGGAGATAAGAATGAAGGAGTATATGAGACAGGCCTGGGGTGAGTTTGCATGGCAGGTGCCACAGGGGTAGAGTAGAGATTTTGGGAAAAAGGTGTCCACTTGAGCACTTTCTAGGGTGATGCACCGTGGAATGCTCCAAGTGGAACCTGTTAACTGCTGGAGAACACCGAGGAGTTTGAAAATGAAATAATGGAGGAAACAAATGAGGCAAAACAGAATTTCTGATTGACAGGGCCTATTTTATTGAGCATTTTCGGGTTCAGAAGAAAGGCAGGAAAAGGTTGGTGGGGTAGGAAAGGGGACTCTTCCTCAGGGTCCTTCTGCTTCGCCCTCTGAGAAGAAGATGGAGATCATTGTTCTAGGAACACTCTGCAGGGGCCAGACTCTTCTCCACATTGCCAGATTCATGTGTGACGTGGCAGGTGAATGTATTGTGAGATCTCCACTCATCTGGAGTCATGGTCAGGTAGCTGCTGGCCATGTACTTGTTGTTGCTCTGTTTGGAGGGCTGCGTGGTCTGAACTCCCTGGGTGACTGCAGTGCCATCTGCCTTCCAGGCCACCGTCACGTCTTTCGGGTAGAAGTCATTTATCAGACACACCAGTGTGGCCTTGCTGGTCTGGAGCTCCTCAGGAGAAGGCGGGAATAGAGTGACTGAGGGGGCGGCCTTGGGCTGACCTGTGCAGATAGAAGGGGGGTGTGAGTCAGCAGAGGCGAAGTTGAATGTTTTCCATTCATGTACACAAAGTGTCTGTGCCTGGTTTATTGTCACCATCTTGTTCGTCCTGGCACCCTCCCCTCTTGTCACCTTGAGGTCCCTAAGGAACACACAGCCTTGCACCTTTCCAGAAGTCCTTCCCAAGTGGCTTAGGTGACCTGGACCCCTCCCTCCCTTCTGCAGCTTCAGTTTCCTGATTTTTCACCAGGCCAGGCTGTGATCTGTCCTCCCTGGTCTCTGGAATCTGAGTGTAGATTCCTGTGCTTAACTCCCAAGGCTTCATCCCAGGCCAGGCCTCCACTGCCGTTCATTTTTCCCATGCTCAGTGCCTCCTCTCTGACAGAATTTCTCTAATCAGCCTTGGAGGATGGTCCTGGGGTGTGTAGGGAGGCCCTGAGGCTATTCAGTGCAGGAGAGAATTCTTAGCCCCTTCTATCCTCCAGTGTTTAAGGCTCTGGTCTAGCCCAATCTACTCCCTGACAAGGGATGTGTTCCATGTAGAGAAGCCTGGACTCTTCAGAGACTCGGCCATCTCCTCTGTACTCACTGAGCTGATCACAGGACTATTGCCTAAGCTGTGTTCTTGGGGCTGCTCCTCCAGAGGGTGGTACAGAGCAGCTTTCCATCCATCCCTGTAGCTTCTAAAGAATCTTGATTTTTACCTTGCAGTGAGGTAGTTTTCTGAGACTCCTATCTCACTACCCTATTTCTCATCTCTTGAGCCTAATGTGCCCTTTGAAGAAGGCAGGAGACTGATAATGAGCATGTGAGATTCTGAGCCCCAAGATTAAGGGGCAGGCTCCAGAACCACTGATTCTCTGGCCTAGGGGACCTCTCTTCTTTTGACGACCATCCTGGGCTCTGGGCACCTCACATACTCTAATCTATCTCTTTGTATCCCTGTGTCCTCATTGACAGCAGGGTACTGGAGATCTGCAACCTAGAAAGAGCCAGAGCTCTCTGTCTCCTCTTGAGGTAAACTCCAGCCATGTCCCTGGGCCTCCTGAATGGCTCTCCTAGCTTGATCAAGCATCCAGTTCTCAGTCTAGACCTCAGAGGCTTTAGAGACTGTCTCTAAAGCCACTCAGTGCCCCCTGTCAGACCTGCTCTCTGACCTTAGTTAGGCATCTTTCCTAGAGGAGGGGAAGGAAACCCCATATTTGAACAACTCCCACTCAAAGTCTCAGGACTAGTTCATATCTGACTCCTGGTACTCTTTCTGCTGTTGACCTTAGGATTACCCACCTCCCCCAGTCTCTGGGAGAGTATAGAGGAAAGAGTCCCCAGAGAGAGAAAACAGGCTTTTCTGAGACAGAAGAGGAGTAGGATAGGCTGGGAAAGATCATGAGAACCACTTACCTACGACGGTGAGTTGGGTCCCGCTGCCGAAGACATACCACAGTGACTGAGGCTCAGACTAAAACCCATGGGCAGGCACCTGGGGCCTGCCCCCTGGGGGATAGGCTGGAGTGGGCATCTGTTAGGCGTGACGGTGGGGCTGTGCCCTCAGCAGTGGTTGAGTGGGTAGTCTGTCCCCTAGAGACTTGATTCCTTTTCCAGGCAGGCAATGTCCATTGCCTTGGAGCTGCCCCACTTGTGCCCCTCTTTTATGAGGCTGTTGGTGCTGACAGTAACCCTAAGCATAGTAGGTGCTAAGCAAATTCTTGATGACATATCCGATGGTATGTGGTTTGGCACAGAGTCCTCAGCTGGTTTGGACTTGCTCAATCTCTCTTGGGCTCATTTTAGTGATTTTGAGCCTCTTTCCCACAAGCCCCAGTGGTCCAACTATGCCAACTTCCTAAGGCACTACTACACGGTACTACCTAAGGTACTACTACATGGTACTTTCTAAGGTACTACTACATGGTACTTCCTAAGGTACTACTACATGGTACTTACTAAGGTACTACTACATGGAAACTCCTCCACTTGCATTTCTCTTATGGAGATGTAACTCAGGTCCACCTTATTCACGAAGCCTTCTCTGATCTCTCAGACTACTCTTTCCATTAATTTATCTTTTCATTTATCCATGCATCCATCCACTTGCATAATCATCCATTCATCTACCCATTCATCTAACCATTCATCTGTCTGTTCAATTGTCTCTTTTTCCATTTATCCACCCATTTATCCATCCATCCATCCATCCAACAATGGCTACCAAGATGTCTCTGCAAGAGGCCCCTCTTTCTGGTCATACCCCTCTATTTGGTGGTTGAGGCCACCTACTTGTGTTCCCCCTAGTTTCCCTTTTTTTTGTATTGGGGATCAAACTTGGGTCCTTGGGTTTGCGGAGCAGGTGGCAGAACCACTGAGCTAAATCCCTGGCCCCCTAGTTTCCCTTTTTCCTTTCTGGCAGCCCATGATCATCACTCAAATCTGTTTTCCCTGTACTTTCCCCACTGTCTCTGCATCTGACCCTTAATGTGCACTCCTACATTTATGCAGAGACCCTAGATCCCTATTTACAGTCCTGACCTTTATTCTTATCTTTATATTCACATTTATTTTGCCTTTTGAATCTATCTTTGCTTGAATATCTCACAGGAATCTCAAATTCAACAGACCCAATAAAATTCATTTTCCTACAAACTTGATCAGCCGTATTGTCTTCATTCAACAATATCTCTCTAAGCCAGAGGCCTGGAGTTGTTTCAGAATGCATTACCATCATTGAATTACCCTCTTTATCCTAGACATTCTAACACAACACAACACAATATCAAAATACTCTAAAAGAAGAAGAAAAAACACTCAAGTCTCACTCTAAGGGCTTATGATGGCAGAAATCCTCATGCTTTTCCAAATCTGACTTTACCTCCTAAGGCCATTTAATTATATTAGAAGACTACATATTGCATTGGAGGTAGCATTTTTTTTTAACCTTAGCAGCATGAACATTGGCTATTGTATTAAAAATAGGCACATAGCACTCTTGACATAGAATGTAATACAACTTTATAAATAAAATTTTGTTGATAAAAAATAGCAATATAAATCCAACACTTGTTTCTCAATAAAGCAAACATTCAGCATTTTATTGTTATTAAAGGAAATTTCTTCAACTCATTAAAGAGTATGTTCCAAAATTTACAGCAGCCTTCAAACATAAAAGCAAAATATTGGAGTTAGAAATGAGGCAAGCTTGGTCATGCACACTTTTATTATTCAACATATTCTACAGATCCCAGCCAAGGAAGTGAGATGAAGGGGGAAAAGAGACCTAAGTATTAAGAAAAAAGAGAGAAAATTATTTGTTGCAAAGGATGTGTTAGTTTACTGAAACACAAACAAGTCAAGAGAATAAGCTGAAGAACCTTTAGAACTCACACAAGAATTAAAATTGCTCAATATAAAAGTTAACAGGTTTCTCTGTTATATAAGCAGCAACCATTTAGGATATGAAGTTGGGGGGAAATTTACAACTTCAATAAAGTTATGTTAAAGATACCTTCTAAGTAAAAAATATGAGATGGGCAAGATTTTCATGAATAGAATATAAAACTTCCCTACTAGTAGACATAAAAGTAAATGAATGGAGAGAATGTTGTATTCTTGGATGAAAATGCTGAGTGTTGTAAAGATATGAATTCTTAAATTAATCATATATTCTATGAAATTATAAGCACAATACTAAAAGAATGATTTTTTTCATAATTTGGAAAGTGATTCTAAAGTTTATTAGTAAGAATGATAGAGACTAGGCATGGATATTTTGAAAAATAGTAATAATGATGGGTTCTTTCCCTACCAAATACCAGAAGATGCTGTAAAGCTAAAATAATTAAAATAGGATGGAACAATGCAGGAGCATATCAACAGATCAAGAGAATCACAGAGAGAATGCAATAAATCAGTCATTTAGCAGTTGATGAAAGATGTATTTATATTTAAAATGTGTGTTTGGCTTTCTATGTAGAATATAAACAAGCTTATATTTCTACACATAAAAATAAACTCTAGATAAAGTTAAAAAAAACTCCCACAAAATAAAGCATCAAAACAATGAAAGTGCCAGAGAATAATAGAAAAATGACTTATACAAGTAAAATGGCTTTTTCTTATATATGGTACAAATCACAGAAAACATAAAGAAAACATTAAACCAATATGACACATAAAAAATTACCAGGTGCTTTATGGTGAAATACTTCATAAACAAAAGGCATAACATAGATCAGGGAAAAATATTTGAAAAAAATACACTAAGCAAGGGTTTACTATCTCAAGTAGATAGATTAAGAGTTTCTATAGATATAGAAGAGAAGAGCAACTGAATGGAAAAGCAGGCCATTCAATGACCCATTAATTTACAGGAGGAATAAAATCAGTCAATAAAACATATGAAAGTATAAAAAATTTCATCAATGATCAAATAAATAATAAAACAACACATTCTACTTTTTCTCAACACACAGGCAACATAAAAGAAGATGAAAGACTATCACAGTTTGGGCAAGGATGCAGGAGAAAGGGACTGTCATTCACTATGTAAGTGTAAACTGGAACAGCCTTTGGAGGCGTTATGGGAATTACCTTTAAAATTTGAAAAGTTGTTCTCTGTGATCAGAAAATTCCACTTTTAGGCATCTATCCTGTATGAACACATAAATGCTATCTATCCACACACACACACACACATGCATAAACAGGAATGTCCATTATGGCACTACGTGTATAACTTTTGTGGAAACAGTTTAAATGTCTATTAACAAGGGAATTAATAAAAAAAATTCTGTTTCATCCAAACTTTGCCTATAAAGCCATTTATGAAAGTATGATAGTAGATCCATATAGAATAATATGAAAAATGTCAGTAAGAGGTTGTTTAAAAAGCTTGTTACAGGGTAAAATGCAGAGTATGGCTTGATTTTTGAAAGTAGAATCTCAACACAATTATGTATGTGTGTGTTTTCAGGGACACACAAACAGAAAAAAATCTGGAAATATATAGACCAACATGATAGTGGTCATCTCCAGAGAATAGGTTTTAGGGGAAAGAAGTAGGCGATGTTAAGAGATGTTTATATACTCTGTACGTACTTCTGTGCTTAATATATAAATATATATGTATTCATACATATATTTGCAAAAAACACATATATTTACAAAAAGTATGTTACTCTTGTATTAAAATTACTTTTGAAGAAAAAATTTTTTTCTTGTGAACATTTTAATAAAACCAGAATACTATAAAGTTAAAATTAAAATTAAGTGAAATACCACCAGCAAGAGATATACCACTGAAAATTTTCTATGTTTGAAAAATGCACATAGACCTTATGAAAACCAGTGGAGCATTTTTGATCTTTTAAAAACCTGGATTTTCCCATATTAGAGATGCTTCAGAAAGATTTTTATGAGACTGATGTCTTTATTTTGATGATAATAGTAAGCCTTTATTGAATATTAACTTTATGCCAAATTCTATTTTTCAGAAACAGAATTTTGAAGGTTTGTGTAAGATTCTTTATGATGGATACATTATTCTGCACCTGTCATATCCCCTTTTCTGACTATTCAGGGGTTTCCCATTTTCTCCTCTCCATTAATATTGAGCTCACCACCCTGGTTTGTAAACCTTTGGTTTCACCCCCCATTCCCAGGATAAATCCCTAGAAGTGGAATTATACATTTTAGATAAACACAATTTCTTTTAGGACTTGTTGCCTATTGCTAAAAGGCTGTATACTTAATGTCTAGAGATAGTTCACGAGAATGCCCAGTCCTTCCTGGTCAGTGCTCCTGTATCCTTGCTTTAAATTCACTTGCCAATTGCATAGTAATCTTGGAGCCTAGTCACCATGTGGACCTGCGTGTCCTCCCCATGCAGCCTGTGGTCCTCCCTCACCATCTCCCTGAATGTAGCTGTTGCCTTCTTTCCTTCTCTGTCTTGAATCTGGCTTTATACCAGGCTGAGATCTGGAATCAATTTTTCCAAAACACTGCAATTGCTCCAACACCTCCTTCTGAACTGTAGCTCAAAGGTCAGGAGCACAGACCCTTGAAGTCTCTGTCTCTGCTCAAGGAGCCTCCTGCCACTTTGCTCTCCACGCACTGTTACTCTTGCTGGAGGCCACCATCACCAGCCAAGCTGTGAGAGCAGACTGGGAATCTGCCCACAGAGGGAACATTTTCCCTCCCTGTTTATTGCTTCTAAACAGGTCATGGGCCTGTCCCCACTGCTGGACAGGCCCCTTTGGTTCAGGACTACACTCAGCATGCCCAGGCCTGGCTGCCAGTAAATGTTTATAAACAAGCCAGTGAGTGCACATCCTTGGGGGAGATCAAGTGAGGCACTAGCCTTGACATAGACAACTCAGGAACCGGGACAAGTAATACTTCAATGCAACCTTAAAAAATAAAAGTCAATTCAAACAAAGCCATGATA